TTCCCTTTATTTTTATTTTTCTTTACCTGCGAGATTTTTTTTGTTCAGAATATTAGGAAATAGGAAAAATAAAAAAATATAACCTACAAATTAAACGGACCGTCAAAATTTTTCATTATATGAAAAATGTTACAAAAAAAAATAAACCCGAACTTTATCACATCTCCATTTTAACCGAATGTATGAAAAGTCTCAAGTTGCTAGGTTCACAATTTTTTTTTTCAGATCAACTCTCTTGCCACACCCAAAATAATGAAATACATCCACTATTTAGAAGATCAATAACCAAGTAAAAGAGTTTAATTTAAACTTAAACAAACTCCTTTTTAACTCAATAAGGATTCCTTTATGTGCAAGAATTCAAAATCGGCGGTAAATTGGAGACCAAATTCTGCAAGGATTCTGGTCTCAACTTCAATTAGAAATCTTTCATACAATAACTACATTTTATTATTTGCAATGAAAGTCTCCAACTTTTGACTTTTGAGGCAATAATACAACAGGTCACTTGAAGAACAAGAGCCCAACTTGGATCCTTTATACTATGGCAATTTTTAACATCGTTTGAAGAAAAAAATTACCGCTTCTCACACAACCATTTGGCCGAATATCACACATCAATTTTTCTTATAGGTGGAACGATTAGACTCAATCTGATTTTAAAGAGAATTAAATCAAACCATACCTTTGACAGTTTTAAAGAATTACGATAAATTAAAAGCACTCAATCTTGCACGTTTAAACTTAATACAGGCGTCGTCATTCAAATGAAGATGGAATGTTTTGGTCTTGGGGCATGATATGAGATGATGGGATCGTGGTGGCCGGAAGTGGAGCCTAACCAAGAAGCATTCACGCTCGATGATAGAGATTGCAATCGCTCTCCATCATGGACTAGCTATAGTTAAAGAACATGATCATCACATAAACATAGCTGAATGTTATTCGTAGTTTGTCATCCAAAACTTGCAATCTAATTATTCACGATCTTCAAAAGCATAAGTGATATTTTAGCTTCTTGACAATATATAAATTCTCATTTATGCGTTCCTCGTTAGTGATACAAAGTAGCCCACAGTCTAGCTTCTTTTCCCAGTACTTCCTTGATTACTTGACAGATTGAATTTACCTCCAAAAACAAATTTAACCTTCTACAATTCAACGATCCATTAAATTACTTACATTAAGTGATTCAATTCTGACTGCTGGTTTTTTCTCGAATTCTGAAATTCTTATATATAGTTTATATCCTAAAAAATGAAATTCATTAAGTAGCATATTGTTAGTATGACACCCTGCGACTGATGAAAAGGACAATTGACATCAAACATCTTCAATTCAATTAAACATGTGCCATTAATTAACATGTAATTCGTATGGTGCAACAGTAGAGATAAATTAAGACAATTTTATTTTCCATTCAGCCAAAAAAAATACCCTAAGGTAACTCAATTGGCCATTATAGCATCACTGAATTAGAACATAATCAGCATCTTCTAAGATATCTCCAGCTGTTGGTGGCAAGTTATGGCGCAAGACAGGTTTATGAACCTGAGCATGAGTCTCTGCCTCGTGTTGGAACAACTTGACTAACTTGTCGAGCTCTAACTTCCTCACTTCCACCTGCTCTGCGTTGATGGGTTTTTTTAACCCAAGGTAGATCAACCCGACCACAATTAGCACTATACCTAAGAAGAATAGAAGTCCTGCAAATAGAGCGAAGGCATATGGTGTGTTTTCAGCTCCAGGGATCCCATCCACGTTGATTCCAAAAAGCCCAGTGATTATGGAAAGAACAAGGCCACATCCTCCAAATACAGCTAGATTATGAGTGACAGTAAGGCTCCTATCCTGAATCGATCAAGTATTTTTAAAAGTTGAAAACTAAAAACCATTCACGTTGCAATGTTAAAGAGTTTATGAACATTACAAATTAAGAGGCATATAAATACAAACCTGCAACCATGCACGAATAGTACTCTGCATGACGTCTTGGATGGTAAATAAGCGACCACGAACTGCTTCTTGTTCTTCAATCATTTCCCTAGTACTCTTTCGTATTCCTTCCAGCAGGGTTTTTGTTGAATTCCCCCTCAAATGCTGAAGGAGCTCAAAAACAATCTCCTCTCTAGCGTGGAGTGACCATTTTACTCTAATAACCTGCAATTTTAAATGTGATAATGCATATGCTAAAGTTACAGGATTGAACACAATGCAAGTCACAAGATAGGTAGTTTCCTCAACTCTAAATCATGAGAGTATCATAGAAGGTAATGCATGCCATGGAGGAAAAATGACGTGGAAGAGGGCTATGGACAGTAACCCATGGTCCCACAGTCCACGTGCAGAGGAATATAAAGGAAGTAACTGGGGTGAATTTGCTTATCTGTTCTCGGCATACAATCTTCAGGGCATATGTTAAGAAAAGAAAATCTATTGAGTTCTTAATGAAAAAGACTTGAGAGATTCCATATAGATTATTGACGTCTTTGCATGAGAAAATAAAGTCAGATTGCATAGAGAAATAATGTAATTTTACATAAAAAAAAAAATGTTATACGGCATAAAATAGTTTATTTTATGAAGGAAAAAAAAATGTGTATGCAGTTGGAGCACACCCTCCCCCACAAAATAAGTACTTATTCTTGGCTCTGCTACTATAAGCCACATATTCAAATTCTAGGTGAAATGGACAGACTAGAAACAACGAAATGATGCAATTGTGCAAATAAGCAAAAACTTTGCTCCATAACTCCTACATCTTATTACTTCAGTAGATCAACTAAAGGTGGTCTCTGCAGGTTTAAAAAAATAATAATAATAAAAATATGTCTATAACCACTAGCTGGTAAAAATACATACCTGTCTTGATAACCTTCTTATTTCTTGGTTCAGGATACTACCATAAAGATTTAAATCTTCATAGTTTCTCCTATGGTCAAAAGTAAACAGTTAGACATAGCAAGGTACTGACATAAACTCAAAGAAAACCAATTTAATTATTCTCATAGAACCTGTTCACAAACTTCAATTCCACTTCGTCAGCCGCCCCAAAGATGGATTTCCGAAATATCCTTAGCAAATTAGAAATTTTAGTATACGTGAAACCAATCGGAATTGGATTAAAACAAAGATAAATAATAATAATCGGTCAATATAATATCAGCACTCGAATACAGTATTTTACAGTTTTAAGGCCTTATCTGCAGTGTAAAAAAAATAAAATTGGTGAAGTGATAAGAGATGAAAAAATATATGCATATTCAGAATTGATGCAAGCATGGACAAAGCAGAACAATTGGATTACGGAATTAATTGCTGGCATCAAGTGAAAATTTTGAAATTGCTCAAAGCTGCAATCATCTTAACGACAATATTCCTACTTTATAATCTCCTCCTAGAGAAATATCATTTGACAGATAGGTCATTCACCTGATCTTTCGGTGCCATCAGTCTTCACATAGTTAACCATTATTACTCAAGTGCATAGGTTAGACTTAATATAATATGAAAGGAGTCCCTCAGTCCTCACCTGTCATCCCACCGGGCAAGGCGGCTAGCTAAATGTGCTGTAATTTCATGTACTGTCCTCGGTGTATTATAACAACCAGCAAGAAGAAGTTCCTAGGAGGAGAGAAAGGAGATGTGATGATAAATATGCAGAATCCAACCTAATATACAAATGCAAGATGCATGAAGAAAGAGAGTTTTTCAAAAGGAAGTAGAACATGAATGAGAGAAGCTGAAATTGGGTAGACAGGAAATTCCTACGTCCATTCACCCTGCCAGCTTATGGAAGTTATCAGTGTGAGCAGGATAAGAAGTAAAAATGCAGAACATGAACAAAAACCATATAATAACAGCAATCAAAATAAGTTAAATGTAATTTATCAAAGCATGTTAATCCTGAAAGACTGTCTAATCCGGTATGAACACTAACCTGGACTTCTGTAATGCCCAAAACATTAATTCTTGAAGTAGATCCTTTCACGTGCAAAACAGTTACAAGGAAGTTCTGTGCTTGCCATGAACGAAGGACAATGGGAACGTCATCTTCTTCGACAAAAGGATCACCAACAGACTGCCCCAGAAGCTCGAAAAGCAAACCTCCAGCCACCCTTACTGGAACCTGCAGAAAATAAAAGGCATAACGAAAGGAACCAGCAATGTCAAGCACCAAATGCTGAAAGCCATAAAGCATGAATCCCTCTAGTTTAATTTATTTCAATTACATTTTGGTAGATACACAATTTCTTGAAATAAGTTTATTAAAGCTTTGTCGACAATAATCATACTGAGAGGTCAAAAAGAGAGTAAATCATTCGAGGTTCTGGACACAGAGTATTGCATCGTACAACAATTGAGTCACACCAGAGACTTAGGTCCATCTTTTGACAATAAAGATAACGTGCACATTAAATTTAGCCCCTGTTTGAGTTCCATTATTCAAATAAGCCATTATTCAAAAACTTATTTTTTTCCAAACTCATTTTCAACTACACATTCTACCAATAAAGTAATTTGTACTTGAACTTAAAACTTTTCCTTATTTTTTAACCACACATTCTCAAAAAATACTATTACAGAACCCTTTTTTCTCTTGAAAAATGGGGCTCAAACAAGGGTTTAGTTAATGTTCAGTGATTGAACAGTACCAGATTGAAGTAATTTCCTGATGGCACATAAATTTAAATTCATATCCATGCAAAGTAAACGAAACCTCCCGGTTCCAAAGAATAATTATAATAAAAAAAAACTCATTAAAAAAAATAATAAAAAAAACTCATTAAAAAAAAAAAAATTCTTCCAATAGCATTACATGTATGTAAACCCAAATGATAGCTCAGTAGTCAGACTTTGAATTTGCTCTCTAATAGTCACCAATTCAAGTTCCCTCAGGACCACTGAGGTGAGTATCCCACTATAAACTTCAGGATCTCGTGGGATTAGTCGAAGTGCGTATAAACTGGCCCAGATACTCACGATCATAAAAAAAA